AACAAAAACTACATTATTTAAATCTTACACATAGTAAACATTACACGTAGTTTTTATTTATTTTTGTCATAACAAAAACTACATTATTTAAATCTTACACATAGTAAACATTACACGTAGTTTTTATTTATTTTTGTCATAACAAAAACTACATTATTTAAATCTTACACATAGTAAACATTACACGTAGTTTTTATTTATTTTTGTCATAACAAAAACTACATTATTTAAATCTTACACATAGTAAACATTACACGTAGTTTTTATTTATTTTTGTCATAACAAAAACTACATTATTTAAATCTTTTTTTTTTAGAACGCTGTATCATTACATAAGCTCTTTCCGTTCACTGCATATTATTTCTATAGTGTAATATATCTGCTAGAGTATTCATAATATATTTGCTAGGGTATTCATACATTGGGCTTTCAGCTGGGTCCTTTAAGAACTGACAAATAGAAACATGCTTATAGAAAAACATAAATGGTTACTTTGTAAAAAACTTATTTAAATAAAACTTCCAAAATCAAACAAAGACGATTGGTTGTATTTTCACTTCTTCATTTTATTTCCGTATTCTTAATCGCAAATCTGCACAATGAACTGGCTATGTGTCTTATATCCACCACAATGATCAAATATCAAATCCTGAATTTTAGCGTTGTGAGCCCTCAAGGTTACTGTTGAGCCACCGATGGGCACATTTATTTAAAATATACAAACATACAGGATTCTGATTAGGCTTAATCAAAGTCTCATTCTGATAAGGTAATATAAAGCTGACATAATAGTATAATGTTGTATTCATTTAACATTATGTCTAAACAGTAACAAGGTTTTACTTCTGAAACAATAACTCACTCTGGAACTTTTTCACAGATTATTCACTAATTTCTTATTCAGTCGTTACTACTAATCGCTACCTTGTTTAATTCAGCTTATTTGCTATACTCTTTATTTAGCTTACTTGTATATACTCAACCCAAGAAACTTCAGGAAGTATTAAACATTTTCATAGTATTTTAACCAACGTTGACGTATTTATACACTACCTTTGTACGAATCTCTATTGTGCATATAGTCGTCTCTTGACTTTCCCTATTTCTAGACTTCCTGTCCTCAGGATTTTATTCTTTTAGCGTCCTTCAATACTGGATTAAGCCATTTGTTGTCAATTCTGCTTTTGCCTTTCCAGCTTTCCTAAGCTTACTTTAAACATCTTTTACTATTTTTTTATTTTTATATCTTTCTGTTGTCATATAATTTTAGTTTTCTCATTTTTTTTGTTGTGGGGCTTCATCTCTAACTGTCTCTGGTTCTTTCTTTATCTAAAACCTGGTAAAGAATTTTCGAGTATGACCGTCATATAACGTTGGCATAAACTGGCGGCATCTATCGACAAAATGTGCAACACATAATTATTGAAACTAAGAATCAAATATTTAAAGTGTTTTTGTAAAATAACAAAATATACTTTTATAGCTTGTCCAAATATAAAATACTTCTATTCAACAAGATTATGATATTATTTAAATTTCGCAATTCAAAATTTAATATTGCAACCATTTTAAACAATTTACACTGTAGAATCTGAACAAAAGTTGTCTGAAAATAAATTAAATTACTTGATTTTAACAGTTGAGTCCAAGACACAGAAATTAAATTACTTGATTTTTACAGTTGAGTCCTAGACACGGCAGAAATTAAATTACTTGATTTTAACAGTTGAGTCCTAGACACAGAAATTAAATTACTTGATTTTTACAGTTGAGTCCTAGAAACAGCAGAAATTAAATTACTTGATTTTAACAGTTGAGTCCTAGACACAGCAGAAATTCAATTACTTGATTTTAACAATTGAGTCCTAGACACAGAAATTAAAATAATACTTCAAAGTGGAAGACTTACGCATTTTTTGAAATATGAAATTCATAATATGCTCTTGAAACAAATACATTTCGTTTTGCTTTCAAAACTATTTCTTACGCTTTTGAAATACATTATATTTCATTTATTCTCGTGAGCGTGAATGTTATTTATCATTAAATGTTTAGAAGTGAAACTGTTAAATACACAAAAAGCGTAATCAGCGCACGTGAGATTAAGTAGTTGAGTAAGGAAGCACATTGATACTAATAATACTAAGTAGGCAAACAACGATTTATAAGCATAATGAAGTGATATATTTATTATTACTTCTCGTTTTAAGATAGGTCAGGGGACGTGTTGAGGTAACTTGTAACCGGAAGCCATTACGAGTAGCCCTGCAAAGTTTTTTGTTTGTTGTTAACCCCAAAGCTATATAGAGAATAATCAAGCCTCTGATTTCAACGTTTTAAGCCTTCAAGTTTATCCCTGCAAAACGAAGTATGACGATAAGTACTTGAAAATTGGGTGTTATTATATATTTAATTGTAATTATATATCGTTATTTAAATTAGTAAATGACATAGATGAATTCTCTGTTTTAAATGTACTAAAATATGGATTCTATCTAGATGGCAACATTAATGGAAACCATAGTTGTTCGATTTGCATGACTTAAGAGCTGTTAAAAATTATCACCGTCCTTGTTATCTTATTTCTCTGGAATTGCAGACAACATCCCAGAATTTGTACATATAAAAAGTAACATATTGAATCAGTTTTATAACCACGAAGAGTAAATAAGTGCCCATAATGTACTGTTTAATCTACTAGTACATTTGAAAGTTTCAAAATGACAAGCACAACAAACAGCATTTTTCTCTGAAGTAAAACCCGACATATATCTGTGAGCTGAAAACGAAATAATAATAAATATTTATTACTTACTCTTGTGACTTAAGAACGTAATTTGTAGCATATAAACCTTTAAGCTTATCGTTCTGCCATTGGAGGGAAGACAACAAAAAAAAACCTAAAGAATAAGTTAATTCTAACGCATATGAGTATTTTTTGTTATCTAAGCCTTGGAATATTTTGCATAATTTACTTTACGCTAGTCACACGTTTAACACTACATGGCTTGTTTATGAATACGGATAACTTAATGATACATTTCCTGGACAGAGTGTAAAATACGTGGTACATACTTCCTATACAAACATGTGAAATGCAGCTTCATATAAAACATAACTTATTGTAATAAATAGCTATAACGCATGTTTGGCTTGTTGTAAAATGTTATGTTTATTGAGTATTTGTGACGGGCATGGCCTAGTGGTTAGCGTGCCAAGGCTGCGTATCGGGAGGTTCAAGGTTCGAACCGCAATTCTTCTTAACACACTCCATAATTTAGCTGTGGGCGTATTATAAACGTATTATAAACCAGCTAATCCTGTTATTCTATTTCAGGAGACGCATAAATATATTATAGCCGTGGGTAGTACTGGTTAGTGCTCAAACGTAGGGGTCGATGACCTAGCTGTTTAAACAGTAGGCATACAAGGTGCCGTTCATATTGAAAATATGCTTAAGTTAAAGTATTCTTTAAAAGCCTGTTTTATG